GGGGGGAGACGGCTGGGGGGGGCATGAGGGAGGGGGGGGGGGGAGGCTCACTGCTCTCCAGACAGACTGAATGGCAGAGGTCAGAGGGCGGACGCTCTTGTTTCCTCTGTGTGAGTGTGTGAGTGTGTGTGTGTGTGTGTGTGTGTGTGTGAGTGTGTGAGTGTGTGAGTGTGTGAGTGGTGTGTGTGTGTGTGTGTGTGTGTGTGCGTCTCTGTATCTGTGTGTGTGAGTGGGTGTCTGTCTGTGTGTGTGTGTGTGTGTGTGTGTGTGTGTGCCTGCCTGTGTGTGTGTGTGTGTGTGGGTGTGTGTGTGTGTGCCTGCCTGTGTGTGTGTGTGTGTGTCCTCAGATATGTGTTCAAAGATAGGAATGTGTTTGGTATGCTAAAGTAAGGTTGAACAGTGCCAGGTTTAAAGGAGACGTACTAAGTTAAAGAAGCTATACCCGATTGATAAAAATTGATAAAAAAAGTTGATAAAAATGCTTATTACTACATACAAGTTGTATTATAAGCCGTAATTTAATTGAAAACTTGAGGTAATTGATTCAGCTGTGTAAGCAGTGAAAATTCTGAGCGGGCCACTCGTTCTCCTCCACTCACAGAACGAGCAGTGAACAGCCTGCGTCCTCTAGCCTCTACAGCGCTGCTAAAAACTAGGGCTTCGGCTTCGAAATTCGAATATAATTCTAAAATTAAAAAAACATATATATTTTTGAACACATATTAGATAGCCCTTATAATTCAAATGTATTCAATAATTGCAAAATAAAATAGTTAGCTCCCAAGGGTTCCACCGGGACGTGCTAGGCAGGTAACAAGTAAGCTAGCTAGCTCCCCGGAACTACATGTTAATGGTTACTTCCGGGTTTTTCGCGATCGCGAAACGTACCATGTTAAAGGAGACGTACCGTGTTAAAGGAGACGTACCGTGTTAAAGGAGACATACTGTGTTAAAGGAGACGTACTGTGTTAAAGGAGACATACCGTGTTAAAGGAGACATACCGTGTTAAAGGAGACATACTGTGTTAAAGGAGACACTTTAGAAACAAATAAAATGGAAGGTTTTTAGCAACAACAAAATGATAAAGACCTTTACTGCTGCTACTGCTACTACTGCTACCACGCTACTACTACTACTACTACTGCTGCTACTGCTACTGCTACTACTGCTACTACTGCTACTACTGCTACTACTGCTACTGCTGCTACTAACACTGCTACTACTACTACTACTACTACTACTACTGCTACTGCTACTACTGCTACTACTACTGCTATTACTGCTACTACTACTACTGCTACTACTACTGCTACTGCTACTACTACTGCTATTACTGCTACTACTACTGCTACTGCTACTATTACTATTACTACTATTACTATTACTACTGCTGACTAAATGATGTCTGCTTGTTGTGAGATCATTACAGATACTGTATACCTTAAACTTGACGATGGAGACATGGGAGTAACTCTAGTACTTTTAAGTAGTAATAATAAAAGGTGAAGAAGTCATCACTTGACAAGACTGTATTTCAGGAGCAGGTGCTGACCCTGACCCTTTAAATCTTCGAGACTTGCTGCATTGAGTATGTTTTACTATGACCTGTTATACTTTATTTTAAATCCTATTGTCTCTGAAAAACACATAATTTAATATGTTTTTTAAATGTTGACATATATGTCATTAGAAGTTAGAAGTTTCACACTTCTTATTGATATATATAGATATTTGACCAGTTGTGGTTGAATCCAAACCTACTAGAAAATATCCAAACTCAAACAACAGCTTCTGGCCCCAAAAGCTCTAATGTTTTTAAGTTTGGGCCCCGACCAAAATGAGTTTGACAGCCCTGCTTTAAATCGTTCCAACTTAGCATAACAGCTTAGCATAACAGCTTAGCATAACAGCTTAGCATAACAGCTTAGCATAATAGCTTAGCATAATAGCTTAGCATAATAGCTTAGCATAATAGCTTAGCATTTCTGACCATATTGGCCATTGATTACAACTTCATTTTCCCACAGGAATAAAAGTCTAAAGTTTCACAAAAAGCGACAAATCAAAGTATCCTGCGACGAACTGCAGTGGATTAGATTAATGAGTTAGATAAATGAGAGTTGGTGAAAGGACTTTGGACCTGCCCCGCTCATAACTCTGCGCTCTGAGACACCATTGACACGATCACAAAGACATCCTCCCTGCTCCAGATCCACACACGGCCTTTATTCTTTATATTCACTTAAAGACGGAGCTCTGGGTCCAGACTGTGCAGTTATGTGGCTGCAGTCCACTGAATATACTCAGAACATGGCCTCGGAGCTAGCAAACTCCAGCTAACATCTGATCGGCACATGTTAGCATAGTATCATTTCATGTATCACCTAGCGGGCTGCTTTAACAAGAACTGTACTAGGATTGTTAGCTAAACTTAAATAAATACTCCTTTACTGTAAAATGCTTGCTTTTAGTGTCTAAATATTATCTTTTTAGACTTTT